TCTGTCTTTCTCTCTCTCTCTCTGTCTCTTTCTCTCTCCCTCTCTCTCTATCTCTCTCTCTCTCTCTCTCTCTTTCTCTCTTTCATATCATTATTTCTTGTGTATTTGAAAGATTCTGCTTCCACTTCTTATTGTTGCTTTTTGATGTTCTTGGGCCAGTCGCCCATGCATTCATCATGTGATACAGACCTCCGGGGTTTCAAGCTACAGAAACATGAGCAACACGCTCGGCTTTGCAAACCAGGGTTCACGTCCCCAAGCGGATGCCATGAAGAGCCAAGGATCAGTCGGGTGAAGACTGCCCCTGGTGTGGATGGTGATGACTGGCGCTTCATGGACTGCGAGACGTCAAGCACCCCAAATCCCACTAAAGCATCCGATCCAGCTCGAAAATCGACCTTACCAACTCAGACCCAAACAACTATGCAAACAATTGCCGCATTGAACCATGGGCTGTTCAGAAGTCTGCCTACGCAATGGCGTGTCAAAGACCAGTTTTGTTCTGTTCCTGCACAGCCGTAAGCATTGAAACTGAGCCATCAGGAGCCGCCGTCGCAGCGCAGCCCAACAAGGCCCTTCACGGTTGCCCAGGCGCATTGGACGGAGCAGCTATTAGGGCGTAAATATGGAAAATAACATCGAAAGTGGAACGGAAACTGGGTTTATCTAGGAGGTTCTGAGATCATGGCACAGAGCGCCCCTGAGCGAATGAAACTAAGGCTTTGAGATTTCAGGGTAATCCCCTCCCCCTAATACAACCCCCACCCCTAAAAAGGAAAAGTCCCATTGAAATTGATTAAAACGTGTTGGGAATACTTCGTTGTAGGGGGGTGGGGATTTTCAATATCAGAGGGAAGGGATTTAAAGTGCTACCAAGAGCATCCTAGGCCCTGAAAACCACTTCCGAGGGCCGGGTAATGTGTCGTGGCGGGCAAAGACCTTAAACCCTCTAGTCCCCCTTTCAGTAGATAGAATATCGCTGTGGGTGTAATTTAAGAAGAACCCCATATACCCCATATTCTATCTACTTGAGGGGGACTATAACTCGCAACTCTTGCAAGCACCTTCGCGGACCTTCGCTCCAGAGTAGCTGCATCAAGTCGTCAGACCCTCGAAAACTCAAACATTCTAGGGTTTAGGGTTTAGGGCTAAGGGCTTGGGGTTTAGGGTTTAGGGCTTATAGGGCTTAGGGTTTAGGGTTTAGGGTACTTGAGAATGAGGATCGAAAAGACCAGCATGAGTTAAGACGCCTGACAGCTGAGCCAAGTTATCAACCTACCACGGACATCCTCCTAGAGTCCCCCTTAAGTAGATATAATATGCTTTTGGGTATATTACAATAAGATCCCCATATAACCCATGTTCTATCTAGTTAAGGGGGGCTATAGCCGCTGTTCTTAGGCGCTGCTGGGAGTCCTGGCACGGGTGGCCGTTTCTGAGCTGCACTTCGCTGCTTCTAATCCTGAAAAACTATAGTCCGGGGGACTGAGGGCCGCTTGAACTTGAATCACCCAGTATCGGGCAAGCGTTTTAACCCTAAACCCTAAACCTTCGACCTTAACGCCTGACCGACGTAGCGACTCAGGCCATGGCAACGCGAACCAATCAGCTTCTTCCGGCTTTCAGTTGTTTCGGATTTGCCTCTCCAACCCGAAGCCCGACACCAAAAGCACCAACAGCAGGCCTTAAAGGATTTATGATATAGGGTTGGGTTTAAGGTTTAGGGCTTGTTTAGATCTTCAAGAAGATGAAGGAAGCTTTCGGCATGTCGGCGGTCGAGCTCGGTGCGGAGGATCAGGGGTCGTGCCGGCTCATTCAGCACCTTGGAAATGCTTATCACGGGCTTCAAAGTGGTAACCTGGGGTTTGGGGTTGCGAAGGGGGAACCAGGGGACCGCTAAAAGGGAATATTTGGGTACTACTGGGGTCATGTTCGGGGAAAAGAACGAAATCCTAAGCCCTGAACCCTTAGCCTTAAACCTTAAACCTATTCAGGAGTACAACCCTGGAGCCTTGGAACTTCCTGTAGCTGCTTCGAAGGCATGATTGTACACAGAAGGCCTTGGAACCGCTACCACAGGAGTAAAGAGACATGCAGGGCATGATGAAACAATACCCTGGATTTATCCACATGGTTGGTCAGCGTCTACATGTGACAGGCTGGCGAGACAAGGCTTTTGATGCCGGAAACCGAGGGGAGCCCTAAACCCGAATTAGGCCCTGCCTGCAGCAGGATGCGCGGGTTTAAGAAAAAGTGTGGGAGACTGAGGTATTACAAGGATCTGGGCTTCGAGGGCACATCTGATCGCACCATGTTTGGCGAACTGAGCATCTTGGTCTTCCTCATCGTCATAGAAGAGATTTGGCATTTCAACGATTCAACGGGGCCTCCTAATTGAGTAGTTTTTCCAATATAGAGTAAGATTTCATCCTCCTTGTGGGTATAGTACTTTCTATAAGGAAAATGATCTTACTAGGTTCAACTACCGAATAAAACGCTACTCAACTCAATTTAGGGTTTAGGGCTCCGGGTGCTGAAACGCACCTAGCTGCGCAGATTGGACAGCACCGCCGAATTGTTCAAAGACTGCATTCCGACAGACATCCAACCGGCGGGAGGGGGTACTTTGCATGCCTTGTACAACTAGCCTCAGTGGCAGTACGGCTTTGTTTAGTCTTAGTAGTAATTGCTGTTACACACATTATCTAGCATTATTACGCCCATCGCTATTGTTATACTTAAGCCCTCAATGGTCGAGTAGCTTTCCATTATCTTTTCCGTTGCTATTAAGGAACTTGAATTAAATTACTATACTCAGGAAACACTATCATTTGCAACGTACCTATGTTGTGGTAGATTAAGTTCCCCTCAACAGCAGCCCAGCCTTGTTCGTTCCTACGGTCCCCTACACCCTAAACCCTAAATCCTAAACCCTACACCCTAAGCCCCGAGAGGTATGCGGGCACCCCTGCCTGCAATCGCGCTCCTAGCACCCAGAGACTGGCTCCAAGCTCTGCCTGTGGAAGGTGCAGTTCCTTTGTTTTTGGGGTTTGGGGTTTAGGGATGGGCTGGGCTTTGGGGAAGGAAGGAATGGAAAGAACATGGAACTAGATTGTGTAGGGTTTGGTTAGGGATGTTTGGGGTCTAACTTTGGGGTTGAGGGAATGAAGGATAGGAAAAGGAAGTAGTCGCTACCGTAGGTCGAGGAAATAGGAGGATTTCGAAAGAAAGTGGACGGTATGATATTAAAGGCATTTTAGGAGGCTTCTTATATCGATCAGTAAATTCCTGAAGGGGCTGGGAGTTAGCTGACGGGTCACACAAGCTACCTAGCGGGTTGAGAAGAATATTTGAGGCTCTGGGGGAGCCGAGGAGCATGGAATTCTGGATCATCAAGGTTATGATAGCATATGAGCTATATAAGATTCCTTAAAAAGGGGTTATGCGGGGGATTAGATAGGGGACTACTATTTGTTAAGCTGTTACTAGGAATTCAGACTATGGCTCATATCATGTGCAGACCACACCACATGTATTGATTCCATAGATCACTGCAGGTCCTGTCATCCAGATGTTAAGACGACCAACAGAGCATTTCTTGAATACAGTAATAATATAGTAGTAATCTAGTAGTTATATAGTAATCATATAGAGATAATTTAGTAATACAATAGTAGTAATATAGTAGTAATCTAATAGCAATCTAGTAGTAATCTTGTGACTCTCGCAGTATTCCTCAGCCAGGATGGAACGCTTGGGCCTGGCTCTGGGGCATCTTCAACTGAACAAGCACTTCATTTGTTTTGCTCGTTGCTGGCTGCTTTGCTACAGAGACCTGAGGCTGAAGTTTGCCACAGGCCAGCGAACAGATCACAAGCATGTAATGCTGGGTTGCTAAGGAACTTGCTTAACAATGGGTATGTGTATATATATATGTATAGAGAGAGAGAGAGAGAGACAGAGAGAGAGAGAGAGAGAGTAAATAGTAGGGTTTCCCCAATGGAGTAACTTCAACTCTTTTCCTTAGCAGCAACACAGAATGGTTTGAGGGGTGTCACCAGTCTGCTTCTTCATCCTGAACTCGTTCTTCCCGAAAGCAAGTGACACGTATTGTTGTTATTACTGTTTTTATTGCTTCTACTATTATGATCAGTTTATCATTATTATTGCTATTGTTATTATCATTATTATCATTACAAATATTATTGCTGTTATTATTACTATACCGGGTTACCGAAGCTAGTCTCTTGTATCCATTCTCAGCTTCCTTCGAATGATGCTTTTCTCACCTGCTTAGGGGAATGTTTAGCTTTTTGGATTTAGGGTTTAAGTTTAGGGTTAAGGGTTATGGTTTAGCTTTTAGGGTTTTTTGAGTTTAGGTGAGACGTGATGCTGTTCCTGGTAAGTCCCAGCAACACGCTGATCTCTTATTAGCGAGGAATGAAGGAAAGGATCCTCATAGTCGTTCCAATACAATTCCCAACAATAAATGTGACTCGGAGTAGTTTCCATGTTCTTTTCCATTCCCCTACATACCCTTACATACCCTACTTGCCATTCCATTTTCCATTTTCTCTTTAAGCAGTGTCTCGATTCCAGTGGTTTCAATTTCTTTTCCCTTCCTTCACTCCCTAATCACCTAAAAGCCTACACCCCTAAACCTTAAATAGTAGTTTCCATTTTTCCATTACCCCAATATTATCCTCAGTAATATACCCCATATTCTATAACGCCAAACCCTAAACCCTAACAGAGGATAACAAGTAAGCAAAGAGCCAGCTGAGGTGGATCTCAACGCCCTGACCTGCACTGCATCCTCGGCCTCATGGGTGCACCAGAAAAGTGGCTTGGGCTGCTGGGTTTAGGGTTTAGGGGGTTTAGGATTTAGGGTTTAGGGGGTTTAGGGTTTAAGGGGTCAGGGATTAGGGTTTAGGATTTAGGGTTCAGGGTTTAGGGATGGAAGAGTAATGATAATAGTAACAGTAGTCAAGAGAGGTTATGCCATGCTCATCATGATGCTGATAAAGGAAGAATAACATTCATGGCAATAACAATAGTAGTAAGACAACTCACAGTCACAATGTTGATGATCAGCCTGGTAGTAATTTTGTTTGGACCAACCCTAAACCCTAAACCCTAAGGACCATGCGCTTGCAAGCTTCATTATTTCAGCCGGTTCACGCAGCATGTGGGAATGCAAAGGCATGCGAAGGATGTCAGGTTTCCCCTCGGTAATAAATCCTCAACCCTAATCCCTAAATCCTAAACCCTAAATCCTAAACTGGTGAATCATATGCATGGGCGCTCGAGCCTTGGGGACAGGCCTCTGGACTGGCACCAGAACGAACCTACGGGATTGGGAGGGTCAAGCTTCCCAGGACCACCTCTACGCGACCCCCACAAATATGTCCAACCATGGAGGGTCCTTTCTGAGATTTCAGCCCCCCCCCCCCCTTTAGGGGTAAATTCCCCTTGCGGCAGCGGGATTCCTGGACCCTGGGCCCCTCATGCCTGGAGGGGTGTCCCCGGCCAATTGTCTCGATTTTTCAGGGACTTTTTTTCGTTTGTTCAGCAATAGGATTTGCTGAAACCTGGGGAGTTCTGACACCCCTAACGGCCTCGGGCAGGCCCAAAGCAGACCCAGGAGCCCAGCAACTTTTCCAGGGTTTCGAGGCCTTGTCACCTTCAACCTCAAGGCACCTTCCTTTCGAATCTGCGGTTGGTCTCCTGACATCATTTCTCATCATGATGCTTCCGGGGACTTCTTAAGCATTTGGCAAGATCCACACGTGAAGGCCGGCCAAGGCCTCCGCTACCCCTATCCGTTGCTCGAGTCTCTTTGCTTGAAATTCAAAAACGCGCAGTCTGAGAATGCTGGCTGCGTGGTGAACAGCAGAACTGGGGAGAAAGGAAATCAGGAAGCCCCCCTTGCTAGGGGGTTTGGGGGGTAGGAACCCTAAACCCTAATTGCGAATAGTTGGGGTGGTTGGGAAGCGCACCCACCGTGCGCACACTGATACACACCCTAATCCCTAAATCCTAAACCTTAAACCCCAAACCTTAAACCCTAAACTCTAAGCTCACAGGTGGGAGTGGTACGTCCCGTGGCCTGAGGGCTGTCAAGTGGAAGTCCGGGCTGTTGGTGCTTCCCACGATGGAACCCCGAAGGCGCGTGGGTTTAGTTAGGGTTTAGGGATTTAGGGATTAGGGATTCGGGGGCTAGGATTTAGGGGTTAGGGCTTAGAGTATAGGCAGTGAACTCAGTGGACGTTTCCCAAAATTAGGGGCACCTTCTGGGCGTCCCGATAATAAGGATTACCCTAAACCGTAACCCCATGTACAGTATTTTGGGAGTCAATATGGTCTCATTAATTTAGGAAACCATCATATTCATCCCCAAATCAGCACTGCCCCTAAGCCCTAAAGCCTGCCAATGTTCATGGGCTTGAGCATGAGCTCTTTCGTGCTTAGGGTTTAGGGTTTGCGGGACATGGCTCTTGCAAGTCTACTGGTGCCTAGTAGGGAATGCAGGAATCTACTACTTACATATATATTCCCCATAGAATGTAATCCCTTATTCTTAATTAGCCCCCAGTAATTAAGACAAAAATATCGAATATCGGTTTTGCACTGTCCCTCCTTCCCCACCTGACAAGTCCTCATACATGTTATCATTCAGATAACTCTGTGCGTTACGCCCCTTTTTTTCTAGTGCTATTTATTCCTGCTTCTATTAGAATACTGAACACTATGCCTGCCAAACCGAGAGGTTTCAGCTTGCGTGCCAGGTGACAGTCTCAGCCCACTTGCGTGCCTTCCGTGGTGAGCCTCTGGGACCTTCAAACCTCAATGACTCCAAACCCCAAACCCCAAACCCTAAACCCCAGGCCCTAAGCGCCCAAACCCTAAACCCTAGACCGCGTGTTAGGGTTTAGCCCTCCGACACAAATCGTGTCGCAGAAGCAGGCCCGCAGGCCCCCATGCCGACACATTCTCCAGTTTAGGGTTTAGGGTTTAGGGAAGAATCGGGGGTCTGCACAGGAAGGGTTACAGTATATTAGGGGCCACATGTACTTGACTATCAACTCGTTACTTGGGGTTATGGAGGGCATTATACAGGGGGCCTTATAGGGGTTACTCAGGGGGATACTGGGAGTTTAGACTATAGCTCGCATTGGGGCCGCGTATCTATGACAGCCCTTTTTTCAGCAGCGCTGGAAAGCTTATCTGACTTCGTTGGTCCTCACACGCACGAATATGCCATAAACCCTAATCTACATGCTTCAGCGAGGAGGATTCTGAATTCAGGATTGGAATGGGGACCCCAAACAAGGAAGCCCAGGAAAAAATAGGACTCTACGTAGTAGGAATAGAAGGACCCTGGTAACGATGTTCTTATTATATTCCTATTCATGGGCTTCCCTGTTTGGAGTTTCCATTAGAGCCTTTCTTAATGAAGAGCGCTGCCAAGGCTCATCTATTGCCGGGCAATGGTGCGGTTGATACATGGCAGTGCTCGAGTGCTCCTCGGCTTCACATTCTGTTTGTTCGGGTTATCTTCGAGCTTAATCTTGTTGGCTGCTAGCATGAAATGGAATCCCCTAATGGCCCCAACATGATTCCCAAGACCTCGATTCCAGCTTTCATTTTTGCGGAAACCCTTCACAGCCGTGCTGTTTCACGTCATCTTGCAGGCTATTTTTTGTCGGATTGAGGAAGCGGCAATACTTCACTCTGGTTTCAGCTGATTATGCGGAGCGCCTTTGGGATGCACCTTGGACGTCTGGTCCGGACAGAATTATGCCCGGCACAAACGCAGGTTCTGCTCCACAAAAAACCTGGCACCGACACGTTCTGAAACCTGCCTTTGCCGGAGCCCACGCAAAAGATCCATGGACTGTTACCCAAGTTCTACAGGATTTCATTGTCTCGCCGCTCCAGCGTAGACTGCGCGGCATGCAAGAAGAAGGCAGGCAGTTCAGGATTGGCCTGGAGTGGGACAGTTTCTTGATCCGTCCCTCCTATAAGGGCTGAGCGGGATGCCGGCCGCGCGAAGCGCTTCAGCAATTACGTGGCTCAGAAGACGCCACGGCGCTAGCCCTGCCTCTTGTACTGCTCTGACGTTTCTGAAGCCGAACAACAAGCGACTCATTGGCTTATGCGGCGGATGCAAAACGTGCCTACTTGCTTGTCCTTGCCTGCTACCAACTTCACACACAGCTCATCATATGGTGCCCCGCGTACCATGTGTGCCAGCTCCTTGCTTCTGTTCTCAGACTTGCCTTATAAACACAGTCCAACTGCCTTTCAAAACTGCCTCTCCGGCATATTTTCCAACCTAACCTGCTCTGCCTCTGGAAGCAAGCGCGACTCCCGGCAGACGCGACGAAAACTAAGCAAGAAGCACCAAGCTCTTGTAGTCGCCCATGTATTGCAAGAGGGGGGGCTGCGGCCCCCGTTCAACCCCCCCGCTATGCTTCGATTTAACTGTATTTGAGGATCCGAGGATCTAAACGCCTTCACAGTTGCCAGGATTGCGATCCCAACCCCCACGATCCCTGTGACTATTGGCGTTCCAAGAGGATGCGAGAGTCCAAAAAAGATGATGGTTACGAGGATCCTGACCCCAACCCCCACGATCCCTGTGACGGTTGACATTTTGGACACTCCCAGAGGATCCGAGAGTCCAAAAGCCACGACAATTAAGAGGATCGCGACCCCAACCCCCCACGATTGACACTCTTGACACTCTCACAGGATCGAGAGTCCAAAAGCTACGACAATT